AGAGAGTGTGTGTGTGTGTGTGTGTGTGTGTGTGTGTGTGTGTGTGTGTGTGTGTGTGTGAAAATGAAGATAGTTTAAAACTTTAAAATAAAACGTCTAACTTAGAAATATAAACCATCGTGGTAATTCAATCCAGACGTGTATTTCCTAAAACTACCGACGTCCTATCAATTTTGAAATGGCGGTAAATAAAAACCGTCGTGGTGTTTCATTTCTAATGACGGTTATTAAAACGAACGATGTCTAAATGAAATTAAAAACTTCTGTTTTTAAAATTTAGAACAGAGTCAATGAGACTTACGATTAATTTTGTCTTCTCTGCAACCTTTCGATTGGGGATGTTTCTCTGTTTATCTTCTCTTGCCTTTTTCCATAGCTGAGAACGATCGATTTCTTCACTGGGCATGGTTTCTTCTAATTCGTCCTCCAAACCAACATACCATTTTCGAGACAACCTATGGTTGTACTCGCATTTTTCCCTTCTATGTGACTACTCAGAATGCACAGCCTCAAATTCTGGGGATAACCTTAAAGCTACAAAGGCATCCCATTGCGATTTGTCTATGAAGTTATAAAGTTTAGGGGGTTCTTTTAACTTCTCCTTGTCATTTGTGAATGGAAGGATAAATTGCCTCGTTAAGATAGACTTGAAATCCTTCCATTTTTTGGTGACAAACGATAGCACCATCTTCTTGCCCTCTTGCCCAACAACATAAGCCATTTCAACAGCTTCCCAAATATGCTCCTTCAGGTCCTTGGGCAATTGAGTCCATTTCTTTTCCACAAGAGGGACTCTGGTGCGTGCCAAAACACCAATGTAAGATTGCATCTCAACAGCAGCCTTGCCATGTGGTCTGCCCCTTTTATTGTACTCAACCACGAGCTTAATATTCTGAATTTTCCTCTTCACAACATGGCTCATTGTGTTGATACCGCGCCTAGATTTTGGCTCCTCATCAAATGTCGCTAAGCTAGGGTCTTTCTCAGATGTTAAGGTAAATCTCATCTTCTTCACAGGATTGCTTTGAACAGATTTGGCTTCATTCATTTGAGCTTTGAAATTGCAAGGTCCTTGCTTTGACCTTTTGATACTTGAGCCTCCTTACTTTGAGATTTCAAAATCATGTTTTGAAAGAAATTAAACCTACAAGTGAAACAACGACGGTTCATTAAAAAGAACGACGTAATATTCCAAAGAAGACGTCAGTAGGAAAACACAACCGTCGTTCTATGTTATTTAGAATGACGGTTGTAAACTACCGTCGTCGTAAGAAACTTAAACGACGTCAACAAGAAAAACCGTCGTCTTAAGAAGAGGTGGTACAACAAAAACTGCTCAATTCTCTCTCTCCCACGAAGGTTTTGTATGACAATAAGACGACGGTGTTGTATTGTTTATGTCATATTAATTGTCACACAACGACGGTTATTAACTACCGTCGTGCTATTTGTAATAGCACGAATTTAATTACCATCATGGTGTGACAACTAATACGACATAAACAAGACAAGGCCGTCATCTTTACACGTCGTGAGAGTGAGGGACTAGTTAATTTATTAAAACCAAAAGAAGATTTTGTCATTTTGAAAACGGAGTCTTTGGCTTGCAAAGAATGAACCAATGGTAGACTTCAGTTTCCAGACTCTTTAAAAAAAAAACTTCAAAAGATTTTGAAAAAAAAAAAGAGATTGAGAAAAAACCTTTGGCTTGCAAAGAAAGTTTTCTTCAGACGTAAACTTTGGAGATTTGGAGACGAAGACGAGGAAGATGACCAGATTCAGACACGTCGCTTTTGGAAACTTAGAGAAAATTTATCAATTAGAGAGAACGTAAAACTTTAGGTCAAGTGACAAAAAAGTTTATATATTATCCCAAAGTCCAATAACATGACGATTCTGTTATAAACCGCTCTAGTATGTCGTTAAAACGAAAAAAAAGTAATAGAAACCAATGTGGTTATTAATAAAGACAAACGACTTTTGGAATTCCGAAACCGACGTGGTTATTTACGATTTACACAACAAAAGTTTACTTTTGATGCCCTGATATTATAAGTTACGACGTCGCTTCTTTATTGAGAACCGTCGTGGTTGTTTATAAAAGTCAAGACTTTTAGTTTATGAAACCGACGTGGTCTTTGAATTTACACGACCTAAATTTAATTTTGCTGACGTGGTATAAAATTTACGACGACGCTATTTACTACTTCACCGACGTGGATGTTTAATATTAGACGTCACTATTTATAAAAGGACCGCCGTGGTTAGTAAAGATTACTTGTATAAATTGGGTCTTTCACGCGTTCTTTCACTTTCAGTTTTCACTTAGGGTTCCAACTTCTTCTGGCCCTTGGCTGCTGCCCTCACTTCAGGCCTTGGCTCTGTCTCACCTCTCTGGAGGCAATAGTTTGGATGTTGATGTGTGTGTGCGTTCGTGTATCTGAAAGACATAAACACACACACATCATCAACTTCTAAAAAATTGTCTTTCTCAAAGCTTCCGTCGTCAGTTTGGATTTAGAGGCAAATAGTTTGGATTTTGATGCATATGTGCCTTTGTGTATCTCAAAGATACAAAGATACATACGTCATCAACGTCCACATTGGTGGTTCGATTATGATGAGGAACATAGCTCTCACTGGTAAGATTTCATCTCTTTTTGGATCTCATTTTAATTTCTCTCTTACGACGGTTTTCTATATAAACTGTCGTGGTTTTTCCCAATTCTTGTCATTTTGTTGATCTACCGTCGTAGGCTACCAAAATTCAAGAAAAAAAAAATCTTAAAAAGCAATAAAAATTAAGACGACGGTTGAAAGATAAGGGCAGACGTATTAATTGAAATAATACGACGGTACTTTTCACTTCACGACGTGGTAAAATATATTATACGATGCGAATTGAACAAACCGACGTGGTTAGTACTAACTTATACGAACCGTCGTCGTGTACTAACTTAATACATCTTGATATAGTAAAAAAAAAAAAGAAAAAAGATGTGTATATTATGAATTTAGACGTCGTTATCTACTCTTCTGGTGTCGTGGTTCTCTACTACTCTATACGACAGAAGTGTTACAGATACCGTCGTAGTACACTCCCCAAATAATACGTCGATGGCTTCATACCTGTTGTCGTTGTTTTTGGGGTCAGAGTTTAAGTCTGAAGAAAACCTTTTTAATAAGACGACGCTTTTTTAGTTCGGTGCGTCGTGTTTTAAAAATACCCAAGCAGATCTCGGTTTTTTAGGTGTTTATGTTACTTATCCATGACGGTTTTCTATTACCGTAGTCTTTCTAAACACACCAACGGTATTTTGTTCTACTGTTGTTTTTTTGTGGTCGTCTTTTTCACTTTTTGTAGTAGTGAATGACTGTTTTATTTATTTATTTATTTTTATTTTTATATTTAGAAAATCGTAATGCATTCAACCAAAATAGAACATTACATGGAAAGAACAAGCATATTAACGGTGGCCCTAATTCCCAAACCAAATGGGACCACCCATTCATGTTTATTTGGACTTCAATGACATGATTGGTACTATAAATAAATAAAGAAAACAAATGAATTTAAAATTATTCTTTGGCTATAGTTATTTCAGATCCATTTCGAATGTCATTAAACCAAAAATTGTGAAAGAAATTTCTGCCATCGAACCAAATATAGGAATATATAATTAATTAATACTGTACATAGTCTACATATTACTGGAAAATAACAATAAATAAGAAGGATGATTTGGCAGCATTATTTCAATTTTTATTGAACAAAAATGAGAGGCCACTTCCAATTTCTCAAAAAAGTGATTGTGTGATGAGAGGCCAAGCTAGGCAGCACGCTGGGGTGTGATGGCTCTTGATCCGTGAGGTGTAGTATTCGTACCTAACACCCCAATCTAATTTCAAGTTGAGGTTTGCTACCCACCCATTGAGGATGGGCGGCCCTACTAACCCGAGGGTAGGGGGCATGCTTTGTGCGACTTCACCAAGGTGAACAGTCCAAGACCACCACACCTCATCCAACAAGGCTTGTTCAAATAACTAACCACTTTAATGCCCTGCTTAGTTACAAGCCCACGCTACTAGGCTCGGCAATTACAAGATGTCATGTAAGTCCTTATAAGCATTTGTATTATTGCTTCTTTTTCCAATGTGGGACTTTACAATAAGCCAATGCCATCATTAGGAATGAGCAGCCAAGAAGGGATTTAAGTACAGGAAGTGTGTCCCACTTGGGATGAATTGATTCATTAAATTATTATCGATTCATATAATATTATATGATTCATTGATTCATCCATATTACTTATATATACAGTAAAACACAAAAGAGTAGCTACCAACCTCTCAGTTCCCAACTTCATTCGTTACCATCGACGTCATCCTCTCTCTCTCTTTCTCTCTCTCTCAAACAGTAAGGAAAAATAGAAAAGGAGAAAATGGCTGAGGTTACAACAAGTTTTTTTAGCAGAGTAGCTCTACTCATGATCCTATATATCCTACACCAACCATGTGTTGCTGAGAGTACCTTAATTTTCAATGTCCTAAGCTTCGGAGCCAAGCCTAACGGTGTAATAGATTCTACACAAGCTTTTCTGGATGTATGGACTGCAGCATGTGCCTCCTCTGATTCCACTACTATACGTATACCAAAAGGGAGGTATTTGCTTCGCAATGCTATGGTTTTCAAAGGTGATAACTGCAAAAGCACAGATATTACTTTTCGAATTGATGGAACATTGATAGCTTCGTCTGATTACCGGATCCTTGGCCAAGCTAACAACTGGCTAAGCTTCGAAGGAGTTACCGGTGTGTCCATTATCGGAGGTGCCCTTGACGCTAAAGGTACCTCCTTGTGGGCATGCAAGTTAGCTGGAAGCACTGATTGCCCCAACGGAGGAGCCACGGTTAGTAATTTATGCTTTCTTGTCGATCAAGTGAAATTTTGTTTAAATTTGTTGTCTACCTTACCCTACCAGTCTCGATTGGGCCCGGAACAAAGGACTTGTGGATCGAGCAAGTAACTTGTGGTCCTGGCCATGGCATTAGGTCAGATTTTATAGCTCTTGGATTGCATTGCTTACATATGAAAACCCCCTAACAGCTACTATTATCGTTAGCTTATGCATACATGGGTGTGGTTATTGCAGCATAGGGAGTTTAGCCAAAGACTTGGAAGAGGAAGGGGTCCAAAATGTGACAGTTAAAAATTCAATTTTCAAGGGTACTCAAGATGGTTTGAGGATTAAGTCTTGGGCGAGGCCGAGCAATGGATTTGTTCAGGGTGTTCAATTCCTTGATGTCGTAATGTTTAATGTCCAAAATCCTATTGTAATAGACCAAAACTATTGCCCACACAATATCAACTGCCCTGATCAGGTAATGAAAATTATAATCTCAACGTAGTAATTGGGCATGTACTCATTCATAAACATATGTCTTGACTAAATGTCTAATGCACATTTCATCTTGTTTCAATAGGTATCAGGTGTGAAAGTCAGTGATGTCGTGTACCGGAACATTCAAGGAACATCGGCTACAGCCGTCGCAATAAAATTTGATTGTAGTGCAACAAATCCATGTAGTGGGATAAGACTCAAAAACGTGAGTTTGACCTGCAGGAATCAAGAGGTTCAGTCACATTGTGCCAATGCAAATGGAAAGATTGTTGGCACTGTTCAACCAAACAGTTGTTTGTAATACTGAAGATGAGATTAGGCATGAAATACATGTACATAGTCCAGACAAATAATGCTAGCGAGTATAGGTGCATTAATATTCTTTTTGTACATAAATGTCATTCTTTTTATACATTAGTAAGTTAATAATAACTCAATTTTATTTTTCTGAAATGAATTCAATACATTGGAAATCACTTCATTTTTTCCCCTGGCTTTTTAATAGGGAAGGATTAATCTACTTAGATTAACTATTTGGTTTAAACTTGTCTGCAAAAGATAGTAGACACTCCTCAAAATTTCTAAGTCATAAAATGAAAATGAAAACAATAACTGAAAATCATTGTACAAGAAAACCAACCTCTTTCTATGTTATAGAATTAATCATTAAGTCAGACCCTAGTTTCAAACAAACAATAGAGTTTGAGTCTGATTAAAATAATGTTCGTAATTTTATGCATACTTACATGGAATAGGAATCATTCTCAAGCAATCCCTCATTCAGATTAGTGCAAATGCCTTGTTTTGATTACTTCCCACTGCCATTCCCTTTTATTCTGATTCCTATTCATTTTGATTCTAAGTAAACACATCATAAATTTTTTGAAAAGTGCACTCGGATTTATAAGTCCTCTTTCAAATGATTTGTCCACTATAAAGTAAAGTACTTAACTTCCGATTTACAAAAACAGAGCTTTCATACTTTTTGAGGGTTAGAGATTAAAACCAAAGGCGTTAATTAATAAGATTTTCAAAAAAGGCAAACTGTTGTTTTCCATCTATCTTTGGTTTACTTCTTACCAACCCCTTAACTCAAACTTGACAACCTCCAGCAGCACACATCCAACTAATAATCACATGAAGCGAAGCAACTTGGAATACAATTATATTACCTGAAGTGAAAGCTCTCTTGTGGGAGTAATAATAAGTGCCTATAAAAGTCCTTTTGGAGCAAATGTTTTCTTCTACCTTCCCCTTTTCTTCAAGCATTTACATAGTGTTTTCTCCTTCCTCCAACAAGAATGGCAAAATGAGCAAACCGAAGGCTAGTTTCTTCCCAGCCCCTGTTTCCACAGCACCAACAATGTCCTGTCATATGAAACAATTATTAGAACCATCAAACCTCCTGTCATATGAAACAATTACAATGACCATCAAACTGAACCTGTCCAAAACCATACACCACAACCTTAACCAACCTTCCCTTGATGAGAAGCAGCAGGAAAACAAGCTTTATGGATTGACGTCGGTTCTGAGTCCCCACCTATATATTTTCTTCCCAATCATCAGATGATGAGCCTCAACTCATTCCAGCATAATATTCATCTCCACCAAACTAAGTTAACGTTGAAAAAAAGTTCTCTAATATCCACAATCATTAATACAGTCAATAAATAAATATACATGAAGTGATGTTTCCGGTAACCTTGGATTGAGATTACCACCAATTCATCAACATATTGAGGGCCTGTCCACTGACGTGCTTATTTTTTTCATCATTTAACCATACCAACACAGAGAATAATCTTAGCTCCATCATACAACCTCAGACAGAGATAGAAGAACTGCTCACTCCATCATACAACCCCTAAGAGTTGGGACAACATAGACATAAACTATTTGAAAGCCTTCAGGCTCATCAGGTTATCAACCAAAAAATATAAGTCACCTAGTTAGCTGTGAAAGAAATTTATGCCATCAAAACAAATAACATATGATTAACATTGTATGCATTGCTGGACAATACCAAGAAATATGGGTAATTTGTCAGCATGAAAAAGAAACAGATACTATTTCAATTGTAATTGAACAACGATGAGAAACCACCTCCATCTTTTGATCCTCACTAACTCACTGGGTACTGATATTGTGAAGTAGTTGCAGAGCAGCAATTGGAAAACATAACCTAAGAGCGTTAGCAATATTGTTGTGATGCCAATTGAAAAACAATTGTCTTCACATATCCTCATAGATCAATTAACCTCCAGAATAACTCTTTCCATTATCATAAGACTTCATTCAGACATTACAAATGGAGTAGGAGTTTGGTTTCACCACCATAATGCATCTTCCATACTTGCTGTTGCAAAACCTTCAAATAGGAAACTTGGAGCTGTAGAAGGTAATTGGTTTAGGTCAATGAGAGTCACAATGCACCATAAATGGCTTTTCTTTTCTATGTGCACATACATTAGTGAATCTAATTTACCCCCATATTCACTTCTTAGCTCTCCTCTATTTACTTTAACATTGCCCTTAAAATCATCAACATCAGAGCAGCAAGAATCTTGCAGTAAATCATCCCAGTTCATATTGAACTTCTCTTGGAACTTCAATCAACTCCTGCCCATTTTCTAAATCTCTCAACATATTTAAGTCTTTTTCTTTGAGCCTCAGTTCTGGCTTCTGATGCCTTTAAATTCCTATAAAGATTCTTATGAAGTTTTACAAACTCACTCCTGTACAACCACTTGTCAGTGTACATACCATGCTCCTTCATAAAGTCAATGACCTCCATCACTCTCTCAAAGTAGCCACCACGAAGAAAGTTCAGTAGCAAGTACTCATAGAGATCTCTGCTTACCACCAAATTTCCACTCTCCATATTCCTCTTAATGTCCCCCCACAAGATCGTGATAGTACGAATCATTCCCAGAGAAGAATACCCATATAACAAATAGGTAAATGTTTGCTCAGTGGGTTGAATTTTCATCTCTTGCATTCTTCGGTATGTCTTCAAAGCATCATCCATCATTTTGGCCTTGCAGAAAAAGTTGATGGAAGAATTGAACTGGTAAACCACAGAAGCGTCCTTCTCATCCCTCATTTCCTGAACCAAAGCATTTGCCAGATCTGATTTACTGGTCGAGCTTGAAACATTTGTACATGTGGAACTTGTATCTAGTATTGGTTGACATTTTGAGACAACCATCTCATCAGATAAACTTGAAAGAAAACCAGCCTTCCTCATTTGTTTAAGCAAAGCTTTTGCTTCCTGAAACATCTTTCCTCTGTAATAGGCTTCCAAGAGTGACATAAAGGCAGTAAGGCCCATGGGAGCCCCAGCTGCATCCATATCATCCAAAAGGTCGTGAGCAGTTTCTAGCCAACTTAAATTAATGCAAGTATCAATCACATCAGAACACAAGCGAGATCCTCTTAATGAACATAACTCCTTTTGTATTTTAAGTAAAATTTCTGAAAGCTTGCAAGTATCCCCGCCCTTTTTGTATCCATTTATGAGCTTGGCCAGAGCTCTGTTACTAAGGACAAGTTTCCCATTCCAATAAAGAACAAGCTCTTGTTTACCCTCTATTTTGAGGACAGAATCATACAGCAGCAGCTCAGGCAAAATCTGCATATTCAACCCAGACTTGAGATTATGAGATCCAATTGGAACAAGATAAGACCTCTGTGAAATCTTTCTGTCTCTATGAATAGGAAGAGACTCATGGTAGTCACACATTTGTAATACAAGCTCAGCAGCCGCCTCAATGTCATTAAACTTGAAATGTAAGCTCAACAAACTATCATAGAAATGCCGATAATGTTGCATAAACGGAGCTGAAACTTGATCAATGTGACTTTTATATTTCTTGATCTCGTCTCTCTGGCCATTCAGCTCATGGATCTGGGCAATAATGATAATAGAGTGTGCATCAGCAACAACACCTGTTTGAGGCATCAATTCCATAATCTGTTGGCCTTTGAATGATAATTTAAACCTCACACAAGCGTCAAGGACAAGGTTAAAAATCATTGTATTAGGCTTCACCAGCTTTGCATGGACGCTCTTGTTTACACTGGAGCGTTGGAAACAATGACAAATCTGAACTAAGAAATTGGATGCAAGGTGTGTTCCAACCTCAGTCTTTACCATATGCAGAACAACCAAGCACAATACATTCATGGGGGGCAAGTTCTGTTTCTCCAGTAGTATTCTAAGAATCATTGTAGCAGGTTTAGGCATTTGACTTCGCGCTAAGGAGAGGGAGAGCTTTGCCAGGATATCAGCCTGTAGTAAGTCTGATCGCTCTTTCAAAATTACCAAGACTATATCACATGCTTTTAGTAGCCAGTGAGGGTCAGACGAATAGCACAGTTCAGTGATTAGCTTACGGATAACAAAATCCTCAGGAAAGCCATGCAACCTTTTAAAATCAATAAAGGACTCCCATGCTTCATTCACTTGGTGTTCCTTCAAGGCTTTTTTGAGCCTTTTCAACACAACTGCATGAGAGGAACCTTCCCAGCATAGCTTTTCAGGCTGAACGCTAGCACAAAAATCTCGGGTAGATGAAATTTGATGCTGTTCATATCTTACACTTGATACCACAGGCTTTTCAAATCTTCTACTCAGAACTGATTCTCTGTCATAATTTGATATTAAGGCAGTCCTCCGAATAGCTGAAGCCACACAAAAACACAAAGGACACCTCTTGATGTAGCGGTTAAGCATTAGGAACTTATTTGTCACTATTAGTGCCATAGATATTTCATCATAACAATGAAAAAACACCGAGAAAGGATAATCACCGTGACATACCACTGCTCAACTTTGGCCCAGGTGAAAAAAACATGCACCAATTGCATATTCATTTATGCAAGCCATAAACAGTAACCAATATTTGCTAAGACAATTCCTTGAGGATCCAGCATGATCTCCTTATGCCCACATGCCCAACTAGTAATATCTGCAAATAGAACCTGACTGAATCAAAAGGCACAAAGTAACACACACACACACACATGAGAAAATAATCTAAAACCAAAGCCAGCCAGGTATTCATATCACAATTACTACAATCAATAGCCAACTGGGTATGACAAAACTGGTTCTAGTCATACATCTAGGATAGGCTTGGCTTGGACTAAGTTCTGTCCTATGTTTGATGGGGCAATGGACTAAGGGGCTGGATAGTATCCTATGTTTGGAACAATTCAGGACAGGACTATAATTCTAAACTATGAAAATAATCATTTCAAACATTACGACTTATTTTTCTTGTTCTCAAATATGCATCATCAAAAATCACAAACTTAACTAAATATTACAGCCAGTTTTTCAATTAAACTTTACGAAGACACCGTAATTCACGTCTAGTAAAGCCTCACTACATACATCAAACTAATGTATTTGCATACAGTGAAAAGAAAACAGAAAAGTAAACTGAAAATGTAAAATAAAAAGTACATGTAGCATAGGCAGAGTTCTTTGAAAGGGAATCTAAGTTTGGAATTTACCCACATTTTATAGATTATCACTAAGCCGAAATAAAGTAGTACACCAAAACTAAGAGAAAAAAAAAAAAAGCAGAAATCAGCCAGCAGATTTTGATACTCTATACTACAAGCAGTTTTGGCTGAAAAACTAATCTAAACAAAGAAAAGGGTACCTCAGATTCTGGCTGCCGCACCTCTTCAGAGAAAAAAAATGGAAAACTTTAAAAGCAAAATGAGTGAAACAGAGAAACGAAGAGAAGTGGGTTTGGAGTGTTTGACTTACCGTTGTAGTTGGAGATGAAGAAGAGAACCGGAAGCTGTTCAAAGCTCGAATTTTCTTACTTTCCCTATCCACTGAAGATTTCCCAAATAATTCTAACTGGTTTTTGTTTTGTGATACAACAAAGAGAGAAATAGAGAGACAGAGAGACAGAGAGACAGAGAGCTCTCGGGTTATGGTTTTTGTAAATGGGTAATTTTAACCCGGTTGAAACTTAACCGAGTGATTTCATCGGACGGCTATTAAGACTCCCGCATATTTTCAAGCCCTCCCTCTCGCTTTGCGTCTTCTTCTTCCTCCAATTTTCTTGTTTCGCTGATTTGCTCTCAAGTCTCAATTACCAGAGGACCAAAAGGTACTGCTTCTCTAGAATTTACCCTTGCAATTTTTCTTTGTTTACTTTAATGGAAATTTTCTAATTTCTTGTAAACTTCCATTTCAAGCTTTTTGTTTCAGTCTGCTCTGAAGCTTTTTCTTTTTGTTTTTTGCATATTTATAAAAAGCTCACGCTTGAATTTCTGTAAATTTGGGCTTGCATTACGAAAGGGATTTGGCTTCTGAGAGTGTAAGAATGAGAAGTGAGACTTGGCATAGTTTGATTCGACCAGCAATGGCTGCCTTTTCCTGTCCTCTTCGAATTCTTCGTTCTTACTCAACGGGTTCGTATATTGTTTCTACTGATTATTAGCACTGTTGTTTTCTTCTTCTTCTTCTTCTTCTTCATGCATTTGGGTTTTATTTATTTAGTTTAATTTTACTTATGCATATGAAAAGGAGCAGAATTGGAGCCTCAACTGTCCCCAAAGCTCATAAAGATCATGGAGCAGAGGCTGTCGCTTATCGAGCAGAGGAGTGCTTGTCTTCAAAATCTCATAAACCAGGTTCTCTATGTTTGTGATTCTATGTGCTTGCTTGGTAATTGTTATAGAAATGAAAATTATGTTGGAATTTGATATGGTTTTTGAAAAAACAAAAAATTTGGAATTGAAATGGTGTTGGACCTTTTGGTTGAAGACAGCCTGATGCCTCGGCTGAAGAGTATGTGAGGGCTAACAAGGAGCTTCGGAAACTCAGCGCTTCCATGGACCTTATAAATCAATTAAGAGCCAACAGCAAGGTACTGAAATTAGAACAAAAACTTCAATTGAAACTGTTATCGTTGTACATAAGAAGATACAGAGCAAAATGAATCATGTGTTTGCTGCTCTGCAGGAGATTGATGGTTTGAGGTCTCTCATGGATGAATGTTCTCAAGATAAAGACATGATTGATATGGCAAACAATGAATTGGGCCAGGCCATTGATGAAGAAAGAAGATTGCATGCTTCATTACTCAAGTCCCTGCTTCCTAAGGATGATGCTGATGAGAGGGATTGCATACTGGAGGTTAGAGCAGGTATTGAGCGTCTGCCCTCTCCCAGAAACACCTGTAGATGCGCATACCAATAATATTTTTTATTCCATTGCATGTGTCTTCTGTTTCTTTTGTTTGACAAAAGATTTCCTTAGGAACTGGTGGGGAGGAGGCGTCTTTGTTTGCAATGGACATATTCAAAATGTAAGTTAGCATCAATACTTGTAAATTCTTGTATGTGTTTTCTTCCGAGAGTCATACCTTGTGTGGATAACAAATTACCATAGGTATGATAGATTCTCGCACAAAAAAGGCTGGAAGTTTGAAGTGGTGGATATTACCGAGTCTGATCTTAAAGGATATAAGGTCTGGTGTGTGATTTCTTTCCTCTTTTCAATCTAACATGCACATTTTAACGGACCCAATAAGCCTGGTCCTTTTAACAGATAATGTATTACAGGATTCACCACCTGCTAAGTGCTAGTGCCTAGTATGTGATAACCGTTTTGATTATAACTTCTTTTCAGGAAGCTAGTGCAGCAATCTCAGGAGCCGATGTTTATGGGAAACTGAAATTTGAGAGTGGGATTCACAGAGTTCAGGTTTCCTTCCTGCCTGTTCAACACATTACTTATAGTTGCCCTCACAAATTACTGACTCTTTCATTTTTGCAGCGAGTTCCTGTGACAGAGAAGTCTGGACGTATTCACACTAGCGCCGTTTCTGTTGCTATCCTCCCTCAAGCTGATGAGGTGCTAACCTGTTGATTCTGAATTTAATTCGCATTCTATGATTTTATGCTTTATAAAAATGGATCTAAGCCCAACAGACAGAAGTTCCTTTTATTCACTCTGTTATGTTTGAATTCATACAAAACTTTGTGGTTATTGTTTGTTCTTTTGTCAGTTATGGTCTCTTATTTTTTTCTTTGACCGTGTTTATCTGGGCCTGCTGCAGGTAGATGTCCACCTGAGGAACGAAGATTTGAGAATCGATACTTATAGATCTGGTGGTTCAGGTGGTCAGCATGCAAATACCACTAACAGTGCTGTTAGAATAACTCATATTCCAACTGGCCTGACTGTAGCCATACAAGATGAGCGATCCCAACATATGGTATATAATGCCTATCTTTTCGAAACTAAATTGCAATTTTCACATCATCGAGCTTAGGATGAGAACTTTACCTTTTTCTTTTATTATTTGGAGTTGATAATTTTCCTGATACAGAAAAACAACAGAAGGTCCTTTTTCCTGATCTATGTATTAATGTATATGAACCATTACTGCACCATGCTTTTAACTGGCAATGGCACTGTGTTGTAAATACAGTTGCTCATTTAAAAAAAATTAGGATAATTCACTGATTTGTATGCCATTCTCTTGTCCTTGTCTTCTCAACTCAAAGTCACTTAGTCTTAAACTTCAAATCTTTACAACTTGTTCTCCCAAACTACTTTGGATTCTCAACATGTACCGCCTAATTTGAAGCACTCATGCTTATAGGATGTGAGAAGCATTTACTGGTCAAAGTAGGCAAGGGCAAAGTTTGTAGTTGTATTATGTATGTTTTAGTGGTTATGGAAATCACCCTAGCATTCTTCGTATTATTTCTCAATATCTCTGATGTAAAGTGTATGATTGCAGACCTCTCTAGTTATCTTTTCTTTTTCTTTTTTCTCTTTTTTGGTATTCCTTTTGGTTCTTGTTCTTGTCTTTGTTCTTTTCCTTTTCTTCACCTTTCTCTTTTCCAATTTTTGGGTTCCTTTGTAGAACAAGGCCAAGGGGCTTAAGGTGCTGTGTGCAAAGCTTTATGAGATAGAGAGGTCTAGAATCCAGAGCAGTCGGTCAAAACTTAGATCACAACAGGTATGACTTTTACTTGGTAAATTTTAGTTGATACAATTGGTTGCTCTGTTTTCAGGATTGATATGGACTTTCCATCACCTTGAACAGATTGGTAGTGGGGATAGATCCGAACGCATCCGTACATACAACTTTCCTCAAGGGCGTGTAACTGATCATCGGGTTGGCATCACTCATCACTCAATAAATGATGTGATGCAAGGAGAGAATCTGGATGTATTTATCGATGCGCTTCTTTTGCAGGAGGAGATGGATGCGATTGCTTCTTTTAGTTCTTCCTAGAGAAACTAGGATGACTAACAATAGTATACCGTGGCATTTGTGGTGATAATATAATGTTGTGGCTGTCATGTTTTATGCAGTTACATCTTGTTAGTCTATTTTTTGTATGCTCTAGTATTAGTGGATTTGTATACTTTTTAAATTTGGTACCCATTAATGGCATGTTTACTAATCGGTAATTGGATTAGGAGGAATTGAATTGATGAGGAGTTGAATTTAGGAGAATTAGGGCCCGTTCGGTAACGTTTTCGGAGAGTGTTTTCTTAGAATATTTTTAGAGAATGAAAATAAGAAAACGAATTTGCATTTTCACTGAAAATGCTTTTGGTAGATTAATTAGAAAACATATTCAAAAAATAAAAACAATGAAAACGCGTTTTGTATTTCAAATTGAGAATAATATTATGTGAGTTGTTTTTCAAGTGTATTTTTGCTAATTTATGTTAAAAAGAAGTATAATTCTATTGTTTCTTAAAAGTTAAAACTATCTTTATCTCCTTTCTTTTTCCATTTTTCTTTTTTCTTTTTTCTCCTCTCTTTTTTCTCCTTTTTCTCCTTTTCTTTCTTTCTTCTTCTTTCCTTCCCAGACCCATTCCTTTTTCTTTCCTTCTTCCTCTTCTCTCCTTTCTATTTTCTTCTTCCTTCCCTCTTTTTCACTCTCACTCATCCTCCCTTTCGTGGCATGAATTCCATCAACTCACCTCTCTCTGGTTCCACTAATTAATAGTTGTGGTGATGGTGGTTGAGCTGGGTATGTGGTGGCTAGTTTCTCTCATCTCTCCCTCTGCAACTCTCTCTCTCTTTTACCTTTCTCTTCTTCTCCCTCTTTCTTATTCTTTCTATTCTTCTTCTTCTTCCTCTCTTTGTTTTTTTTTTCTTTTCTTCTTCCTTTCTGTCTTTTTTTCTCAGTTGCAGATTCGTGCAATTGGAGAGAAGATTTTTGTTTTTTGGTCTGACGGGGAGAGAAGATTGAGTGAGAGATTGACGAGAGTCAGTAGCAGCGGCGTGTTCTTTTTCAACCTCGCGTGTTTTGAGTTCCTGTGAGAATGAAAACATCATCATTTTTTTTTTTTTTGGAAGTACATGTGAAGTTGGTTTTCATTTTATGAAAACATTCTCAATGTTTTCTGTTTTTGGCCCACCGAATGGGTTCTTGCCTAATTTTTGTTCTCTGAAAATGAAAATATGACTGAACAGGGCCTTAGATTTTGGATTCCTATTGAAGTTGTTTACTAAACCATATGGATTGAGGAGAGTATGATTTCGGATTCCTAATGAAGTTGTTTACTAAGTACCCGTTTGGCATTGCTTATTTGGGGTAATAAGTGATTTTTAAAAAATTTTGGAAAGCCCAGCCTGTTTGGTAAACTATGAAAAAAAATCACTTATTGTTAAAAATTGCTGTGAGAGAAAGCTATAAAGGAAAGCAGCTAATGAGGTGCTTTCATTTTCTGATTATGAAGGAATCAGTTTCGAAGAGGCGCTGGGTTTAATGATTATGCGAATATTATTTTTTGATTATGAGGGAATAAGTACCAACAACACTTTTAACAAAAAAGTTTACCAAACGCCAAACAGCTTTCTCTCACAGCTGATTTCTCTTACAGCAAATCTGACAGCGATTATTTTCACAGCACAACAATACCAAACTGGCCCTAAATCATATGGAATTGGGGTAGGAGTGGTGCTAATTACTAAAATGTCCTCGTTGTTGGGTTAAAGCATATGGCAAATTTGGAATTTTTAAAATTATGTGAGGATATAATGAGTAAAAAAAATGAATTCCTAATGGGTTAGCTCTCCCGGAATTAGAATACCACCTCCCACTCAAGAATTGAATTCCTCCAAAATATTTGATAGAAAATGAGATGTGTTCTAAATTGTTAAAAATTTAAGATTACAATAATAAAATTGACAAAATTAAAAAGACAAAGACAAAAGTCGTAGACCGGCAAACTAGAGGGACCTAAAATGACTTTTTGCAAAATTAAAATTAAGTGAAGGCTTATTTACTGTTTCATCTCCTAAAACGGACGCTCGGTCTCACTTTACCCCTTTAAACTGAAATTTTCTCACTTAACCCCCTAAATCTCTAAAAATTGCTGAAATTTTCTCACTTCACCACTTCCGTCTATTTCCATCCACAAAACCTTTAAGTGTATTGACGTGGCATGAGCATTCTAGTAATTTTAGCTCCTTATATTCTCTCTCTCTCTTCTCTATCTCCCTCTGCCTCTCTCTTCTCTCTCTCTCCTCTCTCTTCTTTCTCCTCC